GCTTGAGTCTTTTCGCCAAACTGCACCCTCTGCAGTTCTACATTCTTGACCAGTCTCTACTGAATGAGCCTGTGCTGATTGGAGGGCAGATCATCTATCCATGCTGTGGGCCACTGCTCCCCCAGTGGCCCATCTCCCCCACTACCTGCACTTCAAATACATCCCATGGGATGGGCCGTGCACTAGTCCCTTGCAATAACTCACCGGCCTCTGAGTGGCTCCTTTTTCAGTTGTCTGTGGCTCCTCCTTTGTGGATTCATGGGAACCCTCTTAGTGATCTTGCTGGCCTGGGGGCTGCCAAGGCCGCCTTCTCCCCTGCCATCTCCAAGCAACTCCATACAAAGGTCACAGATGCAGCTTTTGCCAGCTCTTGCTCTAGTGTGCTCACCAGTGCAAGCCTTGAAGTGGCCAGAGCTCAAAATGGTGGGAGCGGTCCTTTCTTTCTCTCATTGTGGCTTCTCCTGCCTTCATGAACTCCGTATGTCTCTCCTTCTCTTCCCCTGAGCTCTAGTGACCCCAGCTTGGCTGTCGTTGCTTTTTAATAGTTGTAAATTGGTTGATGTGTGGGAGAGAGTGGTGCTGGGGACCATCTATTCCTCCGTCTTGACCAGAAGCTACTTTTTTATTAAACAGCCTCATTGAGATATAATTCACATACCATACATAATTCCATGTTTTTAGTTTATACACAGTTGTACAATCATCACCACAATAATTTTAGGATATTTTCAACATTCTTTACCTATTTCCCTCCAATTCCCCCCAGTCCCTGGCAACACTAATTCCTACGTCTACATATTCGCCTGTTCTGCACATTTCATATAAATGAGATCATACCATACATGGTCTCTTGCAAATGGCTTCTTTCAGTATAATGTTTTCAAGGTTCATCTATGTAGCATGTATCAGTGTTCATTCCTTTTTCTTTTTTTCTTTTCATAGCTGGCTGGTACAGGGATCAAACCCTGGACTTTGGTGTTATCAGCCCCACGTTCTAACCAACTGAGCTGACAGTCCAGCCTTCATTCCTTCTTTTTTTTTTTTTTTTTTTCCTTTTTGTCTTTTTTCGTGACTGGCAACGGATCGCAACCCTCAGTGTCCCCCCCCCTACCGGACCGGGACCAGCAACAGGATCGCAACCCTTGGTGTTGCGCCCACACCTCGCTCAACCAGTGAGCGGCCGGTCTGTATGTGGGATCCGAACCCTCGGCGGGAGCGCCACCACACTCCCAAGCGGCGCACTGTAGCAGTGCACCACCGGGCCGGCCCATGGGTATACCATTTTATCTATCCATTCATCAGTTGATGGACATTTGAGTGCTCAACTGATTTTTGACAACAATACAAAAGCAAGTCAGTGGACAAAAGATAGCCTTTTTAACAAATGGTGTTGGAGCACATCCATTAAAAAAAAAAAAAAAAAAAAAAAACCTCAACCTTAGTCTGACTCCTTACACAAAAATTAAATCAGAACTAAACATAAAACTATAAAACTTGGAAGAAAAACACAGAAGTAATCTTCATGATCTAGGGCTAAGCAGAGAGTTCTTAACTTGACACCATCAAAAATTCAAAACTTCGGGTCTACAAACAACTTTTGTTTAAGAGGGTGAGAAGATATGCTACAGATTGGGAGAAAATATTTGCAAGTCACATCTCTGACTGAGTATGAGTATCTAGAATATAAAGAACTCTCAAAACTCAACAGAAGGAAACAAACAATCCAATTAGAAAATGGACAAAAGATGTAAGACATTTTACCAAAGAGAACATGCAGGTGGCAAATAAACACACAGGAGATGTCCAGCATCATTTCATTAGCCAAATGCAGATGAAAACCACGAGATATATCACTACACACCTTTCAGAATGGCTAAACTAAAAAGTAGTGACAATCCTTAGTGCATGTGAAGATGCGGAGAAACTGGATCACTCATGCATGCTGGTGAGAGTGTAAGACAGTACAGCCACTCTGGAAAACAGTCTGTTAGTTTCTTAAAAAAAATAAGCATGCAACTACAATACAGCTCAGCAATTGCACTCTTGAACATTTATCCCAGAGAAATGAAAACTTATGTTCACAAAAAGCATGTACATACATATTCATAGCAACTTTATTCAGAATAGCCGAAAACTAGAAATAACCCAAACACCCTTCAATTAATAAATGCTTAAACTGTGGCACATCCAAGTCATGGAATACTATTCAGCAATAAAAAGAAACAATCTATTGATACATGCTACAACCTGGATAAATCTCCAGAAAATTATGCTTAATAAAAAAGCTAATCCCAAAAGTTTACATACTGTATGATTTATTTAACATTCTTGAAATTGTAAAATTATAGAAATGGGAAACAGATTCGTGGTTGGCAGAGGTTAAGAAAAGGATGCTAGTGGAAGAAAGGGAAGTAGGTATGGATGTAAAGGCAACAGGAATGATCCTTGTGATTGGAAAGGTTTTGTATCTTTTTTTATTTTTTTAATTTTACTTTTTTGGCAGCTGGCCAGTACGGGGATCTGAACCTGTGGCCTCGGTGTTATAAGGCTATGCTATAACCAACTGAGCTAACTGGCCAGCCTCATTCTGTTTTTTGTGTTTTTTTGGTTTTTTGACTGGGAAGGGGATCACAACCCTTGGCACAGTGTGGTCTGCACCACACTCAGCCAGTGAGCGCACCGGCCATCCCTATATAGGATCCGAACCCACGGCCTCAGCACTACCAGCGCCGCACTCTCCCAAGTGAGCCACGAGGCTGGCCCCTCATTCTGTATTTTTACTGTCTCTTATCCGTATTCTGGTTGTGAAACTGTACTGTACTTTTTGCAAGATGTTACCACTGGGAGAAACTAGGTAAAGGATACACAGAATCTCTGTTTCTCCCAACTGCATGTAAATCTTCAGTTATCTCAAAATTTAATTTAAAAAACTTATCAAAACTCAGGATGCAAGTGAAGAAGTTAGAGGGAAATTTATAGACTTAATGAAAATAAGTGTTATAGCTTTAACTTGATAAACCATAAAAGAAACTGAGTAGTAAAGAAAAAGGGAGAAATAAAATTAATTTCAAAATTTAAGTGACTTTAAATGATTATGATCATGATAGTAATTAACATTTATTGAGCACTTAGTATGTACCAGGCACTTTATGTGCTTTATATGGATTAATTCATTTGTGCTTCACATAGCCTCATGAGACATACATGCCGTGATTATCATTATTTTACAGGTGAAAAAACTGAAGCACAGAGAGGTTAAGGAACTTGCCAGATGTTACACAGCTAGTAAGTAACTGAGCTGTGATCCCAGCCCTGGCAATCTAGCTTCAAAGCTTCCTCTCTTAACACTGTGTTTTACTACTCTCATAAAACCAAAAACTGGTTTTCTGAATAAAAAGTTTAAATTTTGAAAAATGAGAATGAACAAAAGGAGAATAAAAATAAATTGTATAAGGAACCAGATACAGGAAATATTATTAAAATCAAAAGAGATTACCAAGAACAGATTTGTGAGTAAATTGAAAATCTAGATGGAATAGAGTTTTCCA